AGAGAAAGCAAGCAAGGGCGTTCATGTGTCAATAGGCTACATTTGATCCTCAGAGAGGTTCCTGATAGGGCTGGGTGATATCTGGTTTTCAACGTCATGATATATCACCAGCTAAACATCGTGATATACTGATATATCATGATGTCTGAAATAAGAATGGAGCTATGTAGAGGCATTGGCTGGCTTCACGGTTTCCCCCACATTGAGATTTTTGCACAGCGCGCACACACATCATGATTCATGATATATATTGCCAGGTCAAAGATTATGAAACGGACATCACAATATGGACTTCAAACCGGCTTCAGATGATATATTGATATATCACCCAGCTCTAGTTCCTGAGTGCCAGTGCAGCCATTGGGCAAAAATATGGTTGGCACCTCTAGTGGTGAAAGACCACTCCAGGTGTTACCCTTTAATAGCACTGCAGGTAATTTCCTAATCTAGCACTGCAAAATTTATGACCCACCAACTGCAGCCCACCAGTCTACTTTGTAGCCTTCTGTGTGCTTATCAGTAATAATCCTCCACCGTCACTTTTTTGCAGTTCTGAGCTAACAGCCATAGCAGGTTTATTGAGGCCCATCTTGCATGACTAACAGGAAGCATTTAATGGCTTTGTGGCTCACAAATTGTGGAGGTGCCGTCTAAGACAAGCAGGCTGCATTGATCCACTCTTGACAGAGACCCCCTCTCAGCCTGGTCCACCGCAGTTCCAATCAACACCTTCAGATGTGTGCATTGACGGAATCACTCCTAATATTTTGTTCACGCAGAAGTCTCTTAAGAAGGTTTCTCCATGCAAGATCTAAAAACCAAGGGTGTTCAAACTGTTCTTGTTAACATTACTGCCATCGTCTGGTGGAAGAAAGAGAAGCTTTTCCCGTCAGCGATAGTCAGGAGGAAAGCTCCCGTCTGGTTGGCTGTGCAAAGTGGATCTGTTCCAGCAGTGCTTTCTTAAATAGCTGAAGGCAAGCTTGGCATTTCTTAAACAAAATGCTTAAGCCATAATAGGTGAGAGCCACTGCGTCTTGGCAAAGTGGGTTTTCTGTCATCTGATACTAGTGTCCAGCTCTCTTGCAAGGAGAAGTTGTGTCATGGTTTGCGCTAACAAGTGAAAATAAGTGGTCGCTCTGCCTGTACATGTAGCACTTTAGAGACCTCTGCTGGAAGACCCCTGCCAATGCCTTGGCCACATGTTGAATGATTGGAGCTGCTTGGAAGAAGTATAGTACAAATACTGATTTTCAATTAATGGAAGAGACTAAATTCCTGAGGCAAGAGCTGATGACGTACGACCCAATTCTGGTCATTTTTAATTTTTTTAAAATAAGATTTTATTAAGACTTTTCATAATACATTACAAAAGCCAAACTTATCTTATATAAAAACAGTGAAGGAAAGGAAAAGAAGAATACAAAGTCCTGTTCCTAAGTGAGCCCCACTGGTATGGTTGGGCTTCTTCCCAGGTCACTGTCCATAGTCTTAGTGATGATCTGAGAATGGATGGCATGCAAAAAAGAGCACTCTAACCTAATGGAGACCTGACTTTGTGAGAAAAAGCAAGGATCGGAAGGCAGTGATGCTGAGAAGGATAGGGATACTGAAAAGAACTGCAGATCGAGGCGTAAAATATGGCAGCCCTGCTTCCCTTTTTACTACATATACAATTTCACTGCTGTGAAGGCCAGTGGCTTGGTCTGCATGACTCCTGGTGGCAATACAACCTATACAAAGCTTGTTTGGTATCTTTGTGTGTAAGGCATCAGCTACATTGGCTCCCACTACGTTTCTGAGCACAATTCAAAGTGTTGGTGCTGACCTTTAAAGCCCTAAATGGCCTCGGTCCAGTATATCTGAAGGAGTGTCTCCACCCCCATCGTTCAGCCCAGACACTGAGGTCCTGCGCCGAGGGCCTTCTGGCAGTTCCCTCACTGCGAGAAGCCAAGTTACAGGGAACCAGGCAGAGGGCTTTTTCGGTAGTGGCGCCCGCCCTGTGGAACGCCCTTCCACCAGATGTCAAAGAGAACAACAACTACCAGACTTAGAAGACATCTGAAGGCAGCCCTGTTTAGGGAAGCCTTTAATGTTTGATGCATTACTGTATTTTAATATTTTGTTGGAAGCCGCCCATAGTGGCTGGGGAAGCCCAGCCAGATGGGCGGGGTATAAATAATAAATTATTGTTATTGTTCTGTGGATGGTTCAGTCAGTAGAGCACGAGACTCTTGATCTTTGCTTTCGCCCAGCCAGGCAGGCTGCCTTTTTCCTCCTGGAGCGACTGACTGCCCCGGGGGGGGGGGGAGGGATGCAGCCCACCTGCTATGGTGAAGGTACGAGCCGGAGAGTGACCGGATCTCACTCAGCTAAGCAGTTTAATGAAGCCCCTATGCTCCTCTAGCTCATGTGAGCCAGAGAGGGATCAGGATTTGCTCATAGGGCTGTGTGGGAAGGAGGAAGCAGCTGAGATACATTCCAGACATTGTGATATATCAGACCCTCCAAGTGTCCTTATTTTCTAGGGACCGTTCCAGATTTACAGAAGCCATCCCAGTTTCTGATTTGATCCCGGAATGCCTCGCTTTTCCTTAGGACGTCCATATTTTCATTGGAGAAATGTTGGAGGGTATGATGTATCAGCATATCATGGCATTAGCTGCTGATATATCATGGTGTTGAAAACCAGATATCGCCCAGATCTCTGTGTAGTACATTCTAAAAACCATAAATGAATGAGTATATCAAGAAGGGTATGTTTGTTGGACTGTGTGTATACAGTCTACCCACTTCTTCAGGTACAGTTCTTTAATGTTCATGTGTATAACCTCCATTTTATGTGGAGCAAATAATTCCTGGAAGTGGGAAGGAAGGGAATAATATGCTGCCTCTTCTGGATTGCCTTTCCCCACCTTATTCTAGCTTGCCAACTTTTACGATCGCCTTTAGAGAGTTGTCTACATTTTTTTTTTATAGCTGCCTACAATTTGACTGGAATATTACTACCCACTTGCCCTGCAGCAGATTATGGTCTCTGCTGACACCTAGTGACTCTTGATAGACTAAATAGGAATATCATGCCCTCTAGTGCTCCCATGATTCAAAAGCAACTTCCTCCGCTCTCGAAATCTCTTGCTAAGGGATGTATAGATTGTAAGAAACACCTTATAGGAAGAACAGGAGAGTCTCATCTGGAAAAAAGAGAGCCTTGCTGAAACCGCTTTAGCAAAGCATCCAGTAGGACAGAGTCGGGAACTTGAGGGTTGAATACTGTGTGTATGATCTAGTTTGTGCTAGTCCTATCCACATGGATGACCCATGACTGATGGATACGGGCAGCCTAAATCAGGCAGAATATACACACTGGGCTGGAATGAACCATTTCCCAGACACAGTGTACTGGCTTAGGAAGGCAGAGACCCTGCAGTCCCTGGAGCCCAGGTCAAGTGGTTTGCTGAAGCCTTCTTCAAGAAAGGCTCTTGGCTGAAGAATTGCACGTGACGCAACAATTGTTGCCTCTTGTAAGGAATATGGATTAAGTTTGTTTTACTTCTGCTGTGCCATATGGGTCACTTTAAGAAAGAAATTTTGTATCTGTTGATTGCCAACACCTGTTACTCGAATCAATATTATGCTTGTCCATATAACTCTACTCTGTAAAAGGTGCTGCTTACAGCAACTATAAGTTCCACTGTCCTGTGATATCATATATGGTATGTACAGTTGTTGATGGTTTTTATATTATTTTTGCTGTAAAAATGTGTGAGATTACGATATTGTATTTATTTGCATTACCGAGAGTTTGTACTACTGATGAAGCCCAGGACGGTGAAACAAGGCTAATATTCCGGAAATTCTTGTCTTAGACTCTGTGAAAGGATTCTGTGGAACTGTAACAACCTTTCGTGTGGTTTGTTGGACTTTATGAACAGACAGGTGGAATAGACACTTTCACATATATGGACCTTATGCATAAATCGATTAGAGAATGAACTGATCCACTGGGTCTTCTACTTTTTTCGTTTAACTACTTCTGTTGAAATCTACAGTTCAATACAATGAATAGTATATCTTATTTTTTCAAACGTACAGCCGGTTACGTCTTGTGTGTTTATTGAATATGTTTCACGTAACCAGAGGTTTGTTGTTGTTTTGTAAGTAATAAGCAGCACTCCGAGCTGCAAACCCGGCTTCAAGTAGAATAAAGCGCAGACCAGTCCGTACACCATTTTTGCCATAGCCATCATTTCCTGCAGAGACCCTAAAAATTCTCCCTGAGTTGCCTGACCCTGTGTTGCCCCATTTAAACTGGACACATTTCACATAAAACACACTTTAAAAATGCAAAATGTGTGTTTTCGGTGCATTTCTCCATAAAATGTTGTGTGTATTTTGAAAACGTAATGTAGTATTTTTGTGTGTGTGTATGTGAGTGTGTTACGCTTCTTGCAGAATGAAACAGCATCACAAAGTCCAGAGCAGTCTGTAATCTGACTGGGAGTGCAAGTGGTCTGCAGGTACAGTGGTACCTCAGGTTAAGCACTTAATTCGTTCCGGAGGTCTGTTCTTAACCTGTAACTGTTCTTAACCTGAAGCACCACTTTAGCTAATGGGGCCTCCTGCTGCTGCCGTACCGCCAGAGCATGATTTCTGTTCTCATCCTGAAGCAAAGTTCTTAACCCAAGGTACTATTTCTGGTTAGCGGAGTCTGTAACCTGAAGCATATGTAACCCGAGGTACCACTGTATGTGTATTAACTTTAGAAAGCAAGGGTTCTTTACTGCTGAGGCATGACTAACTTGTGTGAAGTGACATGGAGTCTGCCGCAGAAAGGAAGGGCAAGGTTTTTCATTGTTCTACCCTTGAGCTCGGTGGTTTCTGCCATCACTTGCCAGTCAGGGAAGGGCCAAGCCAGACCCCTAGTGGGTGATTGCGAGAATCACAGAATCACAGAATCGCCGAGTGAGGACCATCATTCCTGCAATGCAGGAATAGGCAGCTGTCGCATACAGGGATCAAACCTGCAACCTTGGTTTTATCAGCACCATGCTCTAACCAACAGAGCTATCCCTGAGACAAGAGAGGCGTGTGTGTCATTTTTTAAAAGTGGGGTTTAACACTTTGACTCCTGCTGTAGTCCCAATATAGATCAGGACTCACGCCCCTTTAATTTACACCACAAAAAAAAAAAAAAAGAGAGAGAGAAGGCCCTGTTCATTTCAAGGGGACGTTTTCTTTCCAATGCAAGTTACAGGTATGGGCCACCCTGAATGGGACTTGGGAGCAGGGCAAGGGTTAAAAGCCATTGTACGCCCATGCTTCTGGATTGGGCCCTCTTTTCTGACAATTCATGGAGGTGGGGGTAAATCCTTGCACTTAAACAACAACAACAACATTTATACCCAGCAAAATATTAAAATACAATAATTCATCAAACATTAAAAGCTTCCCCAAACAGGGCTGCCTTCAGATGTCTTCTAAAAGTCAGATAGTTGTTTGTTGCCTTGACATCTGATGGGAGGGTATTCCCAGTGTGGAATACTCCACAAGTGTCCTGAAAAAACTGGGACATCCCAGTTTTTATCATGAGACCACGGGGGCCATTTTGATTGCTGTGATCTCGCATGAGTTTGCGGCAAACTCTACCCCCCCACACTTTTTCAGGGCCGTGTTCTTGTGCAGCACCCCCAAATGTGTGTTTGGGGGTGCTGTACCCCCAAACCACTTTTTGGGGGGGAACGTGGTGCAGAATTGTGTGCGATCACAGCAACCGAAATGGCAGCCCTGTTCATGGCATCCGTGACTTTGAGTTCAAAGTATTGGAGGGTATGACTGTAGGAATCCAAAGAATCCTTATTCTAGCATTCTTTGCAGGAATTCTACTGGGCCTTAAGGTAAAGGTAAAGTACCTCTGACAGTTAAGTCCAGTCGCGAACGACTCTGGGGTTGCGGCGCTCATCTCACTTTACTGGCTGAGGGAGCTGGCGTTTGTCTGCAGACAGCTTCCGGGTCATGTGGCCAGCATGACTATGCCGCTTCTGGCGAACCAGAGCAGTGCACGGAAACACTGTTTACCTTCCCGCCGGAGTGGTACCTATTTATCTACTTGCACTTTTTGGCATGCTTTTGAACTGCCAGTTTGGCAGGAGCAGGGACCGAGCAACAGGAGCTCACCCCATTGCGGGGATTTGAACCGCTGACCACTGATACTTTAGGTAGCACTACCATGGCTCATAGACATTGACAGTGTTATTCTCAAGGAATTTGCCTAAACCTATTTTTATCTAAATACCTCTATCATGGTTTCCTGCTTACTTTTTTTTTCTAAACCAAAAAAGCCCCAAAAGTTGTTGCTTTTCTTCCTAGTGGAGTTATCTCACTCCTTGTTCATATTGCTTTTGCTTCTGGTTCTACTTTCCTGAACTTTTCTGAACTTTTTCCAGCTTTAAAATATCCATCTTGAAGTGCGGTGACCCCGAACTGCATCTAGTTTTCTAAGTATGCTTACACCGTAAATTTGTATAACGGCATTAAGATATTGGCAATTTTATTTATTACCCCTAATGTGGAATTTGCCTCTTTCCAAAGCCGCCATTTTTATGTATGCTACATAGTAATTAAGCAACATATACCATATTGGCCTGAATATAAGCGTCACTCCCCCTCTCCCCAAATTCCGACTGTGAAAAGTTAAAAGGCTTAAATTTGCGACCTTACAAAAATGGGCTTTTACGACATCGCTGCTGAAACAGACTTACGGTAAAATGGAACAGGTGTGAGTGCCTGTGGAATTTGAAAGGTGAGGCTTATATTCGGGCCCATAGCATAAATCAGGGGTCAGCAAACTTTTTCAGCAGGGGGCCTCACATCTTGTGGGGGGCTGGACTATATTTTTTGGGGGGGAAATGAATGATTTCCTATGCCCCACAAATAACCCAGAGATGCATTTTAAATAAAAGCACACATTCTACTCATGTAAAAACACCAGACAGGCCCCACAAATAACCCAGAGGTGCATTTTAAATAAAAGGACATATTCTACTCATGTGAAAACATGCTGATTCCTGGACTGTCCGCGGGCTGGATTGAGAAGGCGATTGGGCCAGGTCCAGTCCAGTCCCTGGGCCTTAGTTTGCCTACCCATGGCTTAAGGTAAAGGTAAAGGGACCCCTGACCATTAGGTCCAGTTGTTACTGACTCTGGGGTTGTGGCGCTCATCTCACTTTATTGGCCAAGGGAGCCGGCGTACAGCTTCCGGGTCATGTGGCCAGCATGACTCTGACGAACCAGAGCAGCGAACGGAAACACCGTTTACCTTCTCGCCAGAGCGGTACCTATTTACAGTGGTGCCTCGCAAGACGAAAAGAATCCATTCCGCGAGTCTCTTCGTCTTGCGGGTTTTTTCTTCTTGCGAAGCAAGCCCATTAGCGGATTAGTGCTACAGTATTAGTGGCTTAGCGGGCTTAGTGGATCAGCTGATAAGCGGCTTAACGATCAGCTGATAAGCGGCTTAACGATAAGCTGATAAGCGGCTTAACGATCAGCTGATAAGCGGCTTAACGATCAGCTGATAAGCGGCTTAACGATCAGCTGATAAGCGGCTTAGAATCAGCTGTTAAGCGGCTTAGCCATCAGCTGATAAGCGGTTTAGCGGTTTGGGAAAAGGGGGGGGGGAGGAAAAAAACCCCGCAGGAACTCGCAAGACATTTTCGTCTTGCGAAGCAAGCACATAGGAAATTCGTTTTGCGAAGCACCTCCAAAACGGAAAACCCTTTCGTCTAGCGGGTTTTCCGTCTTGCGAGGCATTCGTCTTGCGGGGCACCACTGCATCTACTTGCACTTTGACGTGCTTTTGAACTGCTAGGTTGGCAGACGCAGGGACCGAGCAACGGGAGCTCACTCCTTCGCGGGGATTTGAACCGCCGACCTTCTGATCAGCAAGTCCTAGGCTCTGTGGTTTACCCCACAGCGACACCCGCGTCCCATACACATTTAAGTGGCATTGTTAGCATTTTTTACCCCATAGAGCATAACTTTACACTGAGCCACTTTTTCCTTTCTAATGCTGATTCCCCCATTTTGGGGAAATCCTTTTGCAGCTCCTTGCAATCCATTTTCGCTATCCCCTGCAGGAAGCAGGGAAGATCGGAGATGTTAGAGTAAACAGGGGCTGCAGGAATCGAGAGAAGCATTGGCTGGCTTCATGGTTTCCCCCACATTGTGCTTTTTGCATAGCATGTGTGTGTGCGCACGCACGCACACACACACACAGCATGGTATTGCCAGGTCAAAATTATAAAAACTGATATCACAAGAGGGACTTCAAACCGGCTTTGGATGATATATTGATATATCGCCAGCTCAACTGTCCGTTTCTTCCTACTTTCTGCTTCATGTTCTGGTTATTCCAAGATAAGGGAAATGAATGGAAAAGGCGTACAGTGGTACCTCGGGTTACATACGCTTCAGGATACATACGCTTCAGGTTACAGACTCCGCTAACCCCGAAATAGTACCTCGGGTTAAGAACTTTGCTTCAGGATGAGAACAGAAATCGCGCAGCGGTGGCGCGGTGGCAGCAGGAGGCCCCGTTAGCTAAAGTGGTACCTCAGGTTAAGAACAGTTTCAGGTTAAGAACGGACCTCTGGAACGAATTAAGTACTTAACCTGAGGTACCACTGTAATGCTAAGCAGAGCTCGGTGTGTTTAAGCTCATTTATTTCGATGGGCTTTGGTGTGTTTAATTCTGTGTATAGGTTCGTGCTGCAAGATGCCTTGGTACTATTTTCTCGGGTGTTTTGTAGAGACTGTTGAGCCAAATTGGACTCTCAGCCTAGGGTGAATCTGTAGCGTTCCAGAAGGCTGCATGGTGAATCAGTCATCTGATTACTCTTTGTTACACAGCCAAGATTCGCTTTCATTACATAACGGAGAAAAGTCGAAAGAGATCCCCATGCCAAAACTCAACCAGGCATTTTGAGGTATCGACTGTTTCTACCATGCAACTAGTGGTAACATGCACGAGATTTGCCACACACAAAAGACCAATTTTGGATGTGTGAATTGGTCTTAACACGGAAAGCCTCTTGTCTTCCAGGCCCTCAGCAGTCGTGGGAATTTAATACTGTTTTGTCTGGCTGATTTGTGGTACAGATTACCGAGATTGGCACATGCTTACTAGCGCTGTAGGTATCATTTGCTTTGGAGATAGCAGTCTTCAAGGCCTCTTAAAGACAAAAAAATTATTATTGCGTAAGTTATTAGGAAAAAGGGACGCGGGTGGCGCTGTGGGTTTAACCACAGAGCCTAGGGCCTGCTGATCAGAAGTTTGAATCTCCACGATGGGGTGAGCTCCCGTTGCTCGGTCCCTGCTCCTGCCAACCTAGCAGTTCGAAAGCACATCAAAGTGCCAGTAGATAAATAGGTACCGCTCCAGCGGGAAGGTAAATGGCGTTTCTGTGCACTGCTCTGGTTCTCCAGAAGCGGCTTAGTCATGCTGGCCACATGACCCGGAAGCTGTACACCGGCTCCCTCGGCCAATAAAGTGAGATGAGTGCCGTAACCCCAGAGTCAGTCACGACTGGACCTAATAGTCAGGGGTCCCTTTACCTTTAAGTTATTAGGGAGTAGAGTCTGTTTCAACAGATGAAGCTCATAGACTCATAGAGTTGGAAGGGACTCTGAGAATCAGCTAGTCCAACCCCAGGAATATGCAGCCGCCCCATACGGGGATCGAACCTGCAACCTTGCCATTATCAGCACCACACCCTAATCAACTGAGCCACCCAGGCAGATGTGCTTGTTACATGGTTACAGAGAGGAAAATGGGGTAGGAGGGTCACATGGCAAGAAGTAAAACCTCTGATGGTGCATTTAAATTCAAGCTTGAATGTATGAAAAATAAGGACAGTGGCGATTTTTAACCGTGACTGGCAATAGTAAGTCAACAGTGTTTTAACATGGCTGGGAATTTCGGGCTTGTCGCTCTGCAAGCAATAACTAGCCGTTGTCACTTGGTGGCAGTATTGCTCCACTGCTGGAGCAGCTGTTTTGGACTTGACTGTGTTGCTTGGGCACTCGTCTATGCAGTCCCATGGTATCTAGGGCACTCATTCATTGTTCTTCTTGTGCAATTGGCAGAACATTCTTCGGCTGAAATAAGCAAGCTTTTGGTAAGACTGCAGCTTCTTCGTTTTCTTTTTTGAAGCGCTCAGCTGGGAACTTCCAATACTATTTTATGTAGGTTGGCCTCTTCCCAGCATTCAGAACAGATTATGTGCATTGTAAAAAAAAGGGGGGAAGGACGGGTGGGAGAAGATTGTGAGTCTTTTAGGGCTAGGCACCCATTCTAGTTTTGTGCCTGGCTAAGAACATGCTACAGGAAAATCTCCCCCATTCCCTAATTCTTTGTTTTCCAATAAAGGCAGACGTACACACATAGACATATGTTCCCTCTTTGGACTATGTGACTCTAATATCTCCTGAATCTACTCCTTTCTAACCCCAATCTTCAACTTTATACCCATCCGCAGACTATTACAGGACTGATAAGGCAAGGAAATAAACATGACCCCCCCCCGACAAAGTTGCCAGCCACTTACTGCAAAAAGCTGCTGCCTTGTTCCACTTACCTACTGAAATAAACCCTAAAGATGCTTGTCAATGGGCTATCCTGTTATGAAATCTTGATGGTGAGAACTGAGTGGTGTGAAGGAGGGAATGAATCAGGCCCGGGGAGTCTTTTCCAAGCAAATGCAGACTTTTAAGTCCTGCAGAATCTTTTGCAGCCTGGACCATAGCTGTCGACGTTTCCCTTTTTTAAAGGGAAATTCCCTTATTCCGAATAGGATTCCTCGCAAGAAAAGGGAAAAGTTGACAGCTATGGCCTGGACTAATCGGCAGAGAATGTGGTGGCAGTATTGGAACTGGAGCTTTGCAGACTCCAGAATGCCAGAAATGTCGCCTTCCGCAAGCTCATTAAGGATCGACGCAGAAAGGGATTGAGGAGGTTGGCTGTCACCTTGATTAGAAAAGAGTGAATTGGAGGCTTTTTTTCCTGGAAAAATAGGTGCAGAAAAGAGTGAATTGGAGGTTTTTTCCCCTGGAAAAATAGGTGCTGGTACTCACCATGAAGTTGTTGCAGTACGTGTCACACTTTTAAAGCAAAATAAGAGGTGCCGGTACTGCGTAGCCTTGAGTATGCCCCCCCCCAAAGCACTGGGAAAACTTGCATTTCCCCCTCTTTCTCCAGTTTTCTTGAAAAGGGGCTGCTTGTTGAACTAAGGCTGGGAAGCCACTTTTCCTAGAGAGATAATTTGTGCTGTTTGAAGATATAAACTGCATAAATCTATTCAAGTTAAAACACAAGTCTGCCTACTGCTTTGTAAATCAGCTTTATTATATCTGGTGTGCTCTGGCCTGTAGCATGACCATGTCATAAAAGGTGGAATTCTCATGGGGGTCTGCCCATCCTTTTGAGTTAGGTAAAAAGGTAAGGTAAAGGACCCCGGACAGTTAAATCCAGTCAAAGGGGACTATGGGGTTGCAGCGCTCATCTCGTTTTCAGGCCGAGGGAGCTGGTGTTTGTCTGCAGACAGCTTTCCGGGTCATGTGGCCAGCATGACTAAACTGCCAGAGCACACAGAAATGCCGTTTACCATCCCGCTGCAGCAGTACCTATTTATCTACTTGCACTGGCGTGCTTTTGAACTGCTAGGTTGGCAGGAGCTGGGACAGAGCAACGGGAGCTCACGCTGTCACAGGGATTCGAACCGTTGACCTTCCGATCAGCACGCCCAAGAGGCTCAATGGTTTAGACCACAGCGCCACCCGCGTCCAAAGTCATTTAGCCATCCGTCGTGTCCAATTACAGATGTCACATCTCTCCGGTCGAGGAAGCCAGTGAAAACTTGCCTAGCGTGTGAGTTTACCTCTAGCGTCAATATGAGCTTGCATAATAAAAATGTCTGCTTTACCTACTTTAATAATAATAATAATAATAATAATAATAATAATAATTTATTTATACCCCACCCATCTGGCTGGGTTTCCCCAGCCACTCTGGGCGACTTCCAACTGAATATTAAAAACAGTACAGCATCAGACATTAAAAACTTCCCTAAAGAGGCCTGCCTTCAGTTGTCTTTTAAAAGTAAAATAGTTGTTTATTGCTTTGACATCTGCTGGGAGGGCGTTCCACAGGACAGGCACCACTACCGAGAAGGCCCTCTGCCTGGTTCCCTGTAACCTTACTTCTCGCAATGAGGGAACCGCCAGAAGGCCCTCAGCGCTGGATCTCAGTGTCCGGGCTGAACGATGGGGGTGGAGACGCTCCTTCAGGTATACTTTCCTATGGCATTGTTTGTTAAGTACATTGCATTCATATCTCACCTGCTTTCCATCATGGAAACCGAGGCAGCTTAAATGGGGTTTCCAGGTAGTCTCCTGCCAGGCATTGATCAGACCCAGACCTGCTTAATTTCAAGTAAGGTCACTGCATCATGTCACCTCCAAGCCAGGTCATGCCCCGTGGCCTTTTGGAAAGCCTGACATCTTTACTTCTGTGCTTAAGCAAGCCTACCTTGACAAGATGAGAATGTATGGTGTCTGCATTTTAGGAAGAATGTTTCCCTCCCAGATCTTTCAAACCATCTTCCTAGACCCTGTGGCAGTAGCTCCCAGTGCCTGGATCAGGGTACATACTAGTGCGCCATGACAAAATTGCAAGTGTGCTGAAAGGAAGAAGCTTCTTCTGAGCCAAAGGTCCTCTTACCTGTCGCATCTTGGCTCTGGCCTTGCATACTTCCTAGGGGCGGAACTGATGTTTTCTCCTAAAGCTTTGCTGTTCCATTAACAGGTGATGGGTGGCTTTGAGGCAACTGGAGAGGGTGAAATGGGGGTTTGAGTGAGCACAGCATTCCTTTTAGCAACTGGCGATCACCATCTTTCCCAGGCAATGTTTACTACTGGGTTGCTATTTAAATCTAATATGGCTATCCATACTAAAACCACCATCACCACAAAAATAAATAAATAAATTTTAATTATACCCCACCCTCCCCAGCCAAGACTGGGCTCAGGGCAGCTAACACCAGATATAAAAACAATTGATTAAAATACAACTTTAAAAAAAGATTAAAATACAACATTAAAATGCAGCCTCATTTCAGTAGAAACTCAAATCAAAAACTTTTGGGGGATGAAAACGTCAAATCTTCACCAAGGCCAACTATCCAGACTGGTCCTGCATGGGCCAGAAAAAAGCCAGGGAAGTCCCCAAATAGGAGTTCCATCACAGAAGGAGAAAGGAAAAAGAAAAGAGGGGAAGGGAATCAAGTTGATTCCAAGCCAAAGGCCAGGCGGAACAACTCTGTCTTACAGGCCCTGCGGAAAGAAATCAGATCCTGCAGCGCCCTGGTCTCATAAGACAGAGCGTTCCACCAGGCCGGAGCCAGTGTTGACAAGGCCCTGGCTCTGGTTGAGGCTAATCTGACTTCCTTAGCGCCTGGGACCTCTAGAGTGTTGCTATTTATGGACCTTAAGGTCCTCCACGGGGCATACGGGGAGAAGCGGTCCTGTGTTAGCAGTGTAAGAAACTCAGTGTAAGAAACTCAGATATATAAGCTAGTCACCAAATGGCTCCTTAAACCAGGTTTACAGTCGCGAAAATGGAATATCTAGTTGCCATTTTGGAGTCAGGCGGCTTGAGAGTTGTATTTCTCAATTCAACTTTTTGGTTCCTGAAATTCGTTCTGGTTGTGCAAGTAAAAGATCACAAATAGAACTCTACAGTTTGTGTTGTTAGTGTGTGAAAGCAGGCAAGAGCTGAGGATCCCCAGGCATGCACCTCCAGATGGTGGAGACGTCAGGCACCATCCTGACACCTGGCCATCTTCACTTGGTCGCAAGTGGCCGATAGGTGCAAAATGCACCTGCCGAATTTTGAACGCTGATTGTTAGTGATTCTTCCTCCATTGTCAGAGGCACTATGCCTCTGAATGCCAGATTCTGGAAATTGCAGGTGGGCAGACTTCTCCCATGCTCATGTCCTGAGCCCATGGGTATCCGTATGGCTATGTTTTTCATCATCTAGCAACATCCCGAGGGCAATTGTAGGTGGCAGAAGATGGTGGCCTCCAGCCCGCAGTCAGAGAGCCATTGTTTCTGCTGTGCTGGGAGAAGTGCGACATCAGCAAAACAAGCGGCAATAAATTAAGGTGACCTTGGGAGCACAGCGCAGTCCTCTAGTTCTCTGCTCAACCCCAAGCCCTCACACCAAAACTGCACCATAAAGCAAATGCTAGTACTTTTGTAACAGAGAGTCAAAATACAGTGGTACCTCGGGTTACATACGCTTCAGGTTACAGACGCTTCAGGTTACAGACTCCACTAACCCAGAAATAGTACCTTGGGTTAAGAACTTTGCTTCAGGATGAGAACAGAAATCACGTGGCGGCAGCGGGAGGCCCCATTAGCTAAAGTGGTACCTCAGGTTAAGAACAGTTTCAGGTTAAGAACAGACCTCTGGAATGAATTAAGTTCTTAACCCGAGGTACCACTGTAATGTATTATCAACTCTGGCCTTACTCAAAGGCACTTTGTCTTAGACGTATACCCAGTTTTCTTCCTTCGAAGTGAGCCAACTTGAATTAAATACTGGGGGGGGGCACAGATAAGCCCAGCCCCCGCATAATCAATCACATGATGCAAGCGCACCATTTGAATGGCAATGCCTATGAACTCTGGGAGGGGGCTGGCCCCCTCAAATATTTTATTAGTGAGGCCGAAGGGA